CAGGCAATTAACAATGGTTAATGAACCGCGGGCAATTAACGATGGTTACTGAACCACCGGCAATTTACGAAGGTTATCTGAAACCGTTGTTAATTAACAGAGGTTGGTTTAACCACGACAAATACCAAAATTACCTGCGGTTGTTCAAAACCGTCGGTCAATCTGTGTGCCACGCTTAAATTAACTATGGTTTTATCAACCGTGGGTAACGTCATTTACGACAGTTTAAACCCTCGTTAATGTTATAATTAACCATTGGTAAACCATAATTTTCTTGTAGTGTAATATTCACTATCCATAATGGGTTAGCGAGTTGACTGGCTCAATCTCATCACATTTAACTACAGTTTCATTTTTCAAAGTCCTTGTCCCATCTTTGCCAAGTTACAATTACCTCTAAAATTAAATTTAACCCTTGAGTATGACTTTAAATTTTAAATAATGATTCATATAATTTTATTGTATATTTATTTTAGAATAAAAAACGTGTGTATTGCATAGACTATTAACTAATTTTAGTTTTATAATAAGGCGTTTCTACAATAACTTCTTATGTGCCTTCTTTTGATCTACTTTCATTACATCATTTTTCCATTTTTTTTATACCTGTTTTGCATTTACCAAACAGTTCCATTTTCATTCATTTTCATTTTCGTTATATTGTATAAATGAATTTAAATGGCTTCCTTAAGAAAGGGTCATTTTCAACCCCAAAGCAATGAACATGTATGTTCTAGAACATCATTAAAACCCGCAATCTTTACTAAAATGCAGGTTCTAATGATGTTCATCATTAGAATAGAACTCACATACCTATATCTAGCCATTTAAATGTAATATTGTTCCTTTAGTGAAGTTTAGATGAAATGCACGTAGCGTTGTGGGGATAAGAGTGGATTAATAATAGGTAAAGTATGGATAGGGTATTATAACACCCATTTTCATACCTACATTTTTTAAAAATACCTATATTTAGTCTCATACTAACGTGGGTAATAATTTTAATCCTTATATGCATATCCTTTGTGAGTATCTTAGAGCTTGGCTTCTTGTTTTCATCTCTATGTTTTCTATTTCATCTCTTCTCAAAGAGTATTCCTCTTTATAAGGTATAGCATGATTTTATCCTTTGGACCACCCATTTTCACTCTCTCTTTCATTGAACTTGTGTTTTGAGGTAAGGAGAGCTCTACCTCATTACTATGAACATGGTATGTTTGTGCTCATGAAAATGTTGTGAGCGTGATTATGTATATATATCTTAGATGAAAACATGTTTTTTTTGTGATTAAGAATGTGTATAACATTTATTTTGAGCATATATGTATGTGTGTTATGGACTGAGTCTGGGAGTCATGGCCAACCTTCGACAATGATGGATTGATGTATGATATAATAATGATTTAGAGCAAAATAGAGAGATGAAAGGATGAATAATATGTTAATAGAAAATAATGAGTTCAAGCTATGATGACTAATGAGAGGAATAGAGCCAGAATAAAAAACATAGAAATAAAATGGGAAGTATGAAAGGAGAAATAAAATGAGAAAGGTAAATTGTTAGGACGAGTGTAGATAGTTCAGAGGTACACTAGAAGTGTGGAAGATGGGAGCAATTTAAAAAATCTTATGGAAATGACGGTGGTGGATGCTTTCTTGAATTACGCATAACAACTGAGAGTAAGAGCACTATAAGCCTCACACTCATTTCCTGACTTAAACTCTTGATCATGTTTTTGCTGAATATTATTCCATTCTTATATTTGCAACGCAATGCTACGCGTATTTCATCTAAACTTCACGAGAGGAACAATATTATGTTTTACACAGTAAGATCAGTTGTAATGGTAAATTTTAAGTTTGATTAAGGAGTTTATTAATTGGTCGACACGTGGGTCAAAGATTAATGATTATAGTTATATAGTTGTATTTTATGAACATTGTGTACAATATTTCAGAATCTATTCCTAGAATTTTGGGATTAGATTCAATATACCTAAGGAAACTATCTGTCTATGGAAACTATAAATTAAAATCAAAGAATATCAATTTTTTATATCGCAACAGAAAATATGCTAAATATATACAAAATCTCAATAAAGTGTTTCAGAAAATGTTTGAGTAATTATTTAAAAAACATTTGATGATATTCTTAAACGCTGTGATTTTTTCTTTTTTCAGAAGAAATTAGAGACATTAAAGAGACTTAATCATTAAAGGCATTATAGAAACTACCCATTAATTAATACACACATTTTCCAATTAAAATTCAATTTGCTTATCTTTCAAGCTCTAGGGAAAAAATGAAGTTCCTTTTCCTCACTAAAATGCGGGTTCTAATGATGTTCTAGAACATGTATGTTCATTGCTTGGGATTGAAAAGGACCTTTTCCTATGGAAGCCATTTAAATTCATTTGTACAATATAATGAAAAATGAAAATGAACGAAAATGGAACCGTTTGATAAAAGCAAAACAAGTATAAAAAAAATGGAGAAAGGATGTAATGAAAGTAGATCAAAAGAAGAAACATAAGTAGTTATTGCAGAAACGCCTTATTATAAAACTAAAATTAGTTAATAGCCTATGCAATAAATAATACGTGGTCGCACACGGGTCAAAATACACCTAATTACTATAGTATGAGGTAAGCAACTAGGGTCGTTTCTCAAAGAATCAAAAGGACGAATTAATCTATTTAGAGAGTATATAAGACGGGGGGTTTGTTTATAAAAGAAAAAAAATTAGAATGAAGAGTGAACAGAAATTGAAATTTCAATCCAAGAATTAAGAAGAACAATGACTACTCTATCACCGAATTTTTAAGAGAATACATCAACAAGCAATTCGGTAATTAAAAATAAATCCGAATGAAACCTCAATTCAAACTCAACATTCATACGAAAACCTTCATGCATTTGATTAACACATAATCACTTAAAGTTCAGAAAACTCTAGAACCTAATTGAATTGTGCCAATTTAATTTACCAATGCTGTTAATCGTAGTTTTCAAATCAAGAAATCCAATTCATGTTCCTTAAAACCCTTAAAACTGAATTACATACATCAATCGAATAATACGTAATCAACCAGATGCATAATCATCAATCCAAACGAACAACTTCAATTCAAAAATATAATTAGCAAAAGGAGGAGAAAATAAGGAAGAGATGAAACCGAATTTGTTATTGAATTTATGCCAATGTGAGACCAATCCTCAAGAGTGTCACGTCCCTTTTAATCCTTGAATTAGATGGAAATCAAATTCAAAATTCAAAATTCTGTTTGTCACTTTCTTCCATTATTTCAGCTATGAAAACGGCCTCCTTTTGATTGGTGGCCTGAAGGAAAATTGTAGCCTTGGTTGTCAGCTTCAAAACGCCATTAGAATGGGCTTAATCAGATGTCTATGGACTGAGATATGGCCCAAATACTGCACCTTGCTCAGGATCAGCAACTGCAGCTTTCTGACTTTTTCCAGGCCCAGTTTCAGCTTCTTATCATCAGAATTGGTTTCTGACCTCTCATAGGAATTGTGCACCTTTCTCTTAGCTTTCCTACAAATCAAGAATCACAATGAAAGGAGTTCTACAACTCAAGATATGGTCCAGAAACCAAAACAGTATCAGAATTTGCCAAATACTGGAAAAATTAAATAAAGCCCAAATAAAATTCAAACATCATAAAATGATCCAATTCCACCAATTAGGCACAGAAGAGAATTAATGAGCTAGGAATGAGAGGAAATAATGTTATAAAAATCTAATTAATCAAATTCTCCCACACTTAGCTCTTGCATGTCCGCATGTAAGACACAATCAAGCGAATAAAAACATGTAACCTAAAAATCATAGAATAATCAAAACAAATAAACAAATTCTCCAATTAATCCTTCGAAGTGCTGAACTTAAGGACACAAGATCAAATAAAGCATCAAGAGTTCTACAACAATCAAACATCCAACTCCCAACCTCTCAAAAATGCAAGCCAAGCAATATCATTCAAAGTGTATAGATCAAGCATGAAAGATCTTACAAGATGGTGTATACAACTCAACTCTCAAGTATATGGTTCAAAGTGTTTCACTCAAGTCACCTCAAAAGACAATGCATTACCATAAGCTTGTTAATCTTCTACTTCTCTACTACTTACAATCATATGCAAACACAAATCAAGAGGACTTTATTCAATGGTTGTAATGGGGCTAAGGTAAGAATAGGAATAACATTGGTCCTTAGACAAATCAAGCCATAACACACATTTATTCTCCTTGGACTTCCTTTTCCCTTCATCAAAATTTCCCATTTTCTTTGTAATAATTTTTTTATTTCTTTTTCTTCATTTTTTTTTCTTCTTGCATTCTTTCCGAACCCCCACACTTGAAATGCAATAACATTTCTGCCCATGCTCACTTTTTCATTTCCCTTTAGCCTTCTTCTATGAGTGCACAAGTCCTTGAGAAACTTGGCATACTTTGGGATCTGTTTGATAACTTCTAGGAGTGGAATATTAACTTCAACTTTCCTAAAAGTTTCTATGATCTCCTTGTCCATTTCTGCCTCTGCTATCTTCTTGTTTTGAGTCACTTTATTTGGAAAAGGCAACAGAATGTTTGGTTCAGAATGGCTATTGTCTCTCTTGTTGGATGGCTCTAGTTGCTCTTCAACTACATCTATCTCTGCAGAATTTGATTTTCCTGCTGCAGCAGAATGTTCTGCAAAATCTGGAACTTCAAGCTGCTTGCCACTTCTCAAAGTGATGGAGCTCACATTCCTTGGATTACTCACGGATTGGGAGGGAAGGTTGGCAGAACCTTGGGATTTCAGCTCATTTACTGTTGTAGCCAGCTGACCAATCTGTGTTTGCAGATTTTGGATGCTGGCTTCTGTTCTCTGCTGAAACTGGACACTACTAGTTGCCATCTGCTTCACCAAATTTGCTAGGCTTGGTTCTGAGCTACTACTTTGTGGTTGGTTTGGTTTAGCTTGCTGTGAATACTGCTACCTCATGTTTGGTTCTCTAGCATGGTGCCTGAACTGATATTGAGGTTGTTGTTGATGCTGTTGGAACTTATTAGAATTACCATACCTCAGGTTCAGGTGATCTCTCCATCTGGGATTGTATGTATTGGAAAAGAGGTCATAATTCCTTTGCTGCTGCTGTTGTTGGAAACAGCAAATTCCACAAATACTTGCTGCTGCTGGGATGGACTGTTGAGGTTGTTGTGTCTGACCGAGTGCCAAATGTCTCACCAAAGTTGTCAACTCTTCTATTCTGTTCTCCATCCTTTGTTGGTTTGTATCAGAGGTTTTCACTTCATTCACTCCTCTTGTAGACACCATGGCTCGGGTACCAAACTGTTGTGCATTGGCAGCCATGTTTGCAATCAATTCACGAGCTGCAGTGGGAGTTTTGTCTACCAAAGCCCCTCCAGAAGCATCATCAACCATACTTCTGTCCATTAGCATGAGTCCTTCATAAAAATATTGAATGAGGAGCTGGTCCCTGATTTGATGGTGTGGACAGCTTGCAAACAATTTCTTGAACCTCTCCCAATACTCATGCAGAGTCTCTCCAGTAATCTGCCTTATGCCACAAATTTCTTTCCTAATAGAAGCAGCTCTTGAGGTAGGGAAGAACTTCTCCAAGAACATCCTCTTCATGTCCTGCCAGCTTGTGATGGAACCAGGATGCAAGTAGTACAACCAATCCTTGGCAGATCCATCCAAAGAAAAAGGAAATGCCCTCAGCTTGATGTGGTCCTCCTCCACTCCATGTGGCTTCATGGTTGAGCACACCACATGGAATTCCTTCAAGTGCTTGTGAGGGTCTTCCCCAGCTAAACCATGAAACTTGGGCAGTAGATGTATCAGCCCTGATTTGAGCTCAAAGTCTGCATCCAAATTCGGATACCGAATTGCCAAAGCGTGATAGTTGACATCAGGTGCTGCAATTTCCTTTAAAGTTCTGTTAGCCATATTAATAATATCCTCGGAATCAGAATGCATAAAAACAGAATGATTAACACTACTAGTAGAACCTACACTATTATCAACTTGAATATTAGTGAAGGAAAGTCTTTTATGTGTTCTACTTAAATGATGAAATGTCCTATCAATTTCAGGATTAAAATGATGCAATTCACCAGGGTTAGCTCGTGTCATGCAACATCAGACACATCAGAATGCTAGACACACAATATGTCGACAGAATGCTAATAGGGAAATAAAACTAACGAAATATTTTTAAAAAAATATGGGACCACCACAGAAGTACTAGAAATAAAATTTCCTATTTTTGAGAATTTTTTTACTATTTTTAAAAATCCTAAAATACTAAAAAAATTGAAAAAGTGGTCTAAACGATGGAATTTTGGAATTTCAGGGGTGAACCACTCAATTTAGTCTCTAAATTTTGGGGTATTGATCCTTGAATTTTTCTGCAATGTCTGACCAAGTTTCAGCTCAATCCGAGTTAGTCGCCAAAAAAATTACCTTTTTACCTTTTTGTAGAAAAACACCTACCAGATAAAGGAATTTGCAGGAGCTCCTTTGGACAAAGTTGATCAGCGTGATGAGTGCTATTTGGACACCAAAATTCAGCCTCAAACTCCAAAGTCAAACTAGTAGTGAAGTTTTCACCTATAAGACTCATAATAAATACCTCAAAACAACAACCAGAATTTTTCACATAGAACACAAAACAAAATAAGGAAGATTAACACTCTAAATATGTTAAAAACGTCAGTGATTCCCTGGCAACGGCGCCAATTTAACACGTGGTCGCACACAGGTCAAAATACACCTAATTACTATAGTACGAGATAAGCAACTAGGGTCGTTTCTCAAAGAATCACAAGGACGAATTAATCTATTGAGAGAGTATATAAGACGGGGGGTTTGTTTATAAAAGAAAAAAAATTAGAATGAAGAGTGAACAGAAATTGAAATTCCAATCCAAGAATTAAGAAGAACAATGACTACTCTATCACCGGATTTTTAAGAGAATACATCAACAAGCAATTTAGTAATTAACAATGAATCTGAATGAAACCTCAATTTGAACTCAGCATTAACATGAAAACCTTCATGCATTCGATTAACACATAATCACTTAAAGTTCAGAAAACTCTATAACCTAATTAAATTGTGCCAATTTAATTTACCAATGCCGCTAATCGTAGTTTTCAAATCTGAAAATCCAATTCATGTTCCTTAAAACCCTTAAAACTAAATTACATATATCAATCAAATAATACGTAATCAACCAGATGCATAATCATCAATCCAAACGAATAACTTCAATTCGAAAATATAATTAGCAAAAGAAGGAGAAAATAAGAAAGAGATGAAACCGAATTTGTTATTGAATTTATGCCAATGTGAGATCAATCCTCAAGAGTGTCACATCCTTTTTAATCCTTGAATTAGATGAAAATCTAAGTTTCCATGAATGGAGGGAAACAAGTCGTAAAGGTAAGAGGGGCCGAGAGAGAGAGAGAGAGAGGAAAAAAAAAAAGAGCCAAAAAAATTAAATTCAAAATTCAAAATTTTGTTCGTCACTTTCTTCCATTATTTCAGCTATGAAAATGGCCTCCTTTTGTTTGGTGACCTGAAGGAAAATTGTAGCCTTGGATGTCAGCTTCAAAACGTCACTGTAATGGGCTTAATCGGATGTCTGTGGACTGATATATGGCCCAAATATTGCACCTTGCTGAGGATCAGCGACTGCAGCTTTCTGACTTTTTTCAGGCCCAGTTTCAGCTTCTTATCATCAGAATTGGTTTCTGACCTCTCATAGGAATTGTGCACCTTTCTCTTAGCTTTCCTACAAATCAAGAATCGCAATGAAAAGAATTCTACAACTCAAGATATGATCTAGAAACCAAAACAGTATCAGAATTTGCCAAATACTAGAAAAATTAAATAAAGCCCAAATAAAATTCAAACATCATAAAATGATCCAATTCAACCAATTAGACACAAAAGAGGATTAATGAGTTATGAATGAGAGGAAATAATGTTATAAAAATCCAATTGATCAATATACACGTATTTTTTTCTAAAATAAATATACAATAAAATTATATGAATCATTATTTGACAGTTAAAGTTATACTCAACAGTGAATTTAATTTTAGAGGTAATTGTAACTTAGCAAAGATGAGACAAGGACTTTAAAAAATGAAACCATAGTTAGATGCAGTGAAATTGACCTAGTCAACTCGCTCGGCGGTGAATATTAGCGAATTGGATCAAGAATGTGCATAAACAATTCCAATTTTCATAAGGTTTAGATATATGTCCATAGAAAGTTACTTTAGTATTCTTTTTCTATATATATATATAAATATGTCTTTAGATGTGAGGATAAAACACTTCTTAATTCATTAGCACAAAAAAAAATTCTTAATTCTTAAATACTTTCAATTTTATTTAAATTAAACTCTACCAGAAATTAACAAGTATATAGTCTCATTTGAAGTTACACCTTTTGTTCTTCTTTTTCTTTTTCTATTTCTCATTCAAATGCCATCCACTCATATTCATTAATTTTACTTTTTTAAAATCACATTAATAAAGAATTCATTAAGAAAATATAAATTAAATTCAAACAGATTACTCTTAAATTTATTTATTTATTGAAAATAAACCCACCGTAAACAACTATGTATTTGGAGAAATATTATACATTTTCCTTTTGTATTTTGATTCCATATTACCAAAGATATTAAAAAGGCAAATAATGTTATTATAGTTGGCAAAGTATTGTAGTTGAGGAAGACGCTATATCATATACGTACAATATGGTATATGTATTTGATTTTGATTTTCGCAGAAAGTATTATGAATTCCTTGTTTGTAAATTAACATAAATACGAACACATACCCTAACTAAAATATAATTTGACAAAGTAAGGAGGAAGTGAAACTTTAGTATAACATCAACAAAACAATGTATTTAACCAAAATAAATCAAAGATAACAACTATAATGTATCATTATAGCCTCCGCATCCAATTTATTTGTTATAATAACCCTAAGTATTAATTTGGAGACGGTCAAATGGTTGAGACGATCGAAACACTGTTGTGATATATCCCATCAGAATAAATTGAGCATGAATGCTGAGAAACTAGTTGTTGTCATACCAAGATTGCTTCTGAAGATAAGCAATTGTGTTCTTGTCTACCTGGAACGCTTTAGTAAGAACCTCTGGAGAAATAGGTGGATTAGATTTAAATAAAGCATTTGCAACAATGATAAGCCCTGGATTTTGGCTACTGAGAGCAGCAATGGCAACAGCGTTTCCGTATCCCACATTGAGCTGGAAATGAATGAGACCAATTGGGAACACAAAAACATCACCCTTATTAAGCACTTTGGTGAAGAGACGATTATTGTTTTGATTAGAGGCGACAAATCCAACAAAAAGAGTGCCTTCAAGGACTAAAAGGATCTCAGTGCCTCGAGGGTGAATATGGGGAGGGTTTAAACCCTTAGGTGCAAAATCTATGCGAGCCAAAGATACACCAAGTGTGTTTAGTCCTGGTAGTTGATCAACAAAGACCGGAGTCACTTGTGAGCCCAGTGGGTTGTTTGCATTTCCGGGATCCACATGTTTGAAGAAATCTTCAGCCTTCACAAGTTTGGGGTCTTTGCAGAATTTTCCATTCACAAACACTGCAAATTAACAAGGAACATTTTTTAAACAATACGTTCTTGTTATTACGAGAATATTAAAATTTATGTAGCAAGACATGTTAGGAACGTTTGTACATACCACCATCGGTTTCGTTGATTGCCACACAAAAATCTTGTAGAGGACTGGGGTCATAAGCAAAGACAAGAGAGGATGCCAAAGCTAAGGTAGCAACAAGAAAGTAGAGAACTTTCATTTTTGCCTGTCGATCAATACCACTCTTTAATGATTCTATGTTTTAATCGATTTTGGGAATTGATATTTGATCATGCGAAGCTTGCTATTTATAAGGATGAAAGCATTGAATTGGCTTGCAGTTTATCTCTCATGCAATTAATTATTTATTTGAAGATGAACCATTCCCTAACAACTAGATACATGCTTGATCAAAGATTAGACTGTGGAAAATGTTTCGGTATTACCCCGTCAACTTGGCTTTGTACCTAGTAGGTTTTCTCATAATAGTATTTTATAATGGAAGGTTTATCAGCTAAATCCAAGAGTTTTAGACTTTGTCTCATTTCTTCAGACTTGATCCAAATAGTTACTCTTTTGCAAACTCACCTTGTTTTACATGCTTTATCATAATACCTTAGAACCGTCGACATGAGCAGTTGGAGGAATAGCGATTATTTTATAATGGATTCGGTGAAAGTCAAACTATCTCTAATATAAATTTGCAAGGCAAAAGACTAAAATTTTTTATATCCATTCAGCGATTATTTAAAAGTTCTAAATGCAATTAGATATGTTAAGGTAGATTCATCGGAACTTATACTCAATTAACACAATAGCGTAACAAGAAGATAAACATCACATTCAAATATACATACAAAGAGAGAGTCAAAATCTTTCGAATTATCCGATGATAATTATAATATTAATTTTATTTTTTTTTACAGAAATAGCAATCAAATTAGCGACTAAAATATTCAGTGCCAAAACTAAAATATGAATTTGGTTGCTAAATTGCACATAATAAATTAGCAACCAAAATATTTTGTTGCAAAAAGGAAATAAATATTTGATCGCTAATTCAATGTTAAACTGCAAAAAATGAATTACCCACCACATTTTTTTTATTTGCCAAATTAGTGACCGTATTAACAACAAAATTTTTCAATCGCTCGACTAGCAATCAAAATTTTCGGCTGCTAATATATTATTTTAATTTATGAAAATAATTCTCGAACTTTATACACGCAGAACTTCAGATATGGGACTTGAAGATTCCAAGCAAATCAAACAAAATAAAAGCTTGGGTTGGTTTTGGAGTTTGCTACAATGACATTGCACCATCGTTGTAAGACATGAAAAAATGGTGGCTATTATATATGATAGAAGGAGGTGATGGTGACAACATGGTTTGCAGTGGAGGTGAGAAGAAGTCGCAATTGCGACATCAATAAAATCTGTGATCAAAAGATCAACCTGTTGTGGTCGAGTGTGTGTATACAGAAAG